CCCTCAAAAGCCCCCCAAGAATGAGAGTTTGATGGGGGAATTTAAAGACCTACTTTTGAGGACCGAAATATAGATCCCGAGCTTGAATGCGTTTTCTTGCCCATCAGCAAGCAGCCTTTATAAATAATAAAGAGAAGCTGGTTTAGGGTCTTGCTGGAGTTGTTGCCTAGCATGAGAGGATGCTAAGGTTCTTTCACCCATTTGCCTGTTGCACAGTATTATAGGAAAGGGGCCAAAGTTTATGGTTCATGGGCAGACGAGGAGTTGTCCATTATTGACCAAAAAAAAACCGAGCCCATAGAGTTGGCCCATGTAACACCCTAAAAATTGCTCCTTTTGAAATAGAAGGAAATTGAATTAATTTTGAATTTGTGTGCTCATAAAAACATAGGAAAAATAATAAATTTTTCATTGAATTAAAATTTATCACAAGGTAGCAACATGTTTGAGCTTACATGCCGGTGCATTTGTATTTTTGTAATGAGTGGTTTTGGTCTAAATTCAAAGTGTTTCAAAGTGCTTTTGAAAATGATTCAAAATGATTTTGAAATAAAAGGAAAAGAAATTAAAAAATCCTTTCTCTCATCTGGCCAAAGGCCTGCTCTCTCTCTCTCCCTCAGCCAGCGCGCTCGCGCCTCTCTCACCGCCGGCCCGCACGCGCAAGGCCTGGCCTGCTCTCACCTCCTCCTTCCCCGCTTGGCCCAGAGCGCCGCGCGGCCCAGCAGCTACCTCTTCCCTTCACCCGCGGCCCAGTGCGCCATCACGACCCAGCACCGTGCGGACGCGCCCCGCCTCCTCACCGCGCGCAGTCGTTGATCGGTGGGACCCACCTGTCGGTCGTCTCCTACCTCGTGCCGTCCTCTACCTCGCGTACCCGAAGCGGACTCTGCCGCTGCAGGACTCCGCCTTCGCCCCGTGACGCTGGTTGCCGTGTTCCCCATGTCGCTCCCCCGGCCATAAATAGTGCCCGCTCCACGTCGTTTTCCCCCGCATAACCCTAGAGCAGCCGCCTCGCTCTCCTAGCTACAGCGCCACCGCCGAGCTCGAAACCTTAACCGCTGTCGTCGCCAAGCACCGCGCCGCCTCCATCCTCTTCACGCCGTCACCGATTGCCGTGGTGAGTTCGCCTTGTTTTCCTCTTTCTTCCCGTGCTCTCGGTTCACTACGCCGTGGCCGTAGGTCCTTCCCCAAGTACGCCGGCAAGGTCCTCTGCTCTCCGGCCATGGCGCCGCCGTCAGCTCCCTGTGCGCCGGTGACCTCATCCCTCCCTTCGATTCCAACCGTCAGATCCACAATCAACGGATCAGATTAGAACGTATCCTTTTCGTCGCCTTTTTGCTAAAGAGACCCCGACTTTTACTAAATCAACCCACGGTCCGCTCATCTCTCTCCCTCCCTCTTCTAATCCCCACCGTCCAATCTCGATCCGACGGCTCAAATCCAACCATACCCTGTCGCTGCGATTTTTGCAAAAGAGACCCTCAGTTTTACCTAAATAGAACCCACAGTCCATGGCGTACTCACAGAATACATTTTCCTATTCTGGAAGCGTAGTTTCTTTCTAGTAGATTCAAAATACGTTTTCATCTATTTACAGTTTTGCCACTAGTTTTCTTTAGGCCATAACTTCTCCGTTTTAACTCTGATTTGACCCGTTCAAGTTGCGTTAGATTCGTAATTGCGTAATCTACATGTTCATCCTATTATTAAACATGTTTTTAACTTTTGAAATTCAAGGTTAGATTTAATCTATTATTTTATTAAAGAAAATCTTGTTTAATTCATAACTTCTTGGTTATAGCTCTAATTAGCTGTGATTAAAGGAAATTTCGTTCTTAAAATCGGATGCTACAGCGCAATTGCCACATTATGTTTTGCCACTCGGTTCGGCCCAATGCTGCCCTTGTTCCTTTCTTTGCCTCGGTCTCCCGACAGTTGGCTGTCAGCTCAAACAAGTTTTTTTAATGGCGACCGGCAGCAGAAAAGATAGAAAGAGAAGGGTACTCGTGATAGCCGCCATACCAAGCCCTATGCCCTTTTGCATCTTCATGGTTGGATATCTATCACTCCCTCAGCCAAACTATCTTGATTTTATTTGTGTAAAAAATAATCTTAATCTTAACTAAATCTATATAAAAATATATAAATCCATGTAATAGATTTTATGATATTTTTTTAATATACCTATTTATAATCTTAAAATATTGATATTATTTTCATAAATTCAGAACATCAAACATAAGTTACTTTGACTTGATCCAATCTAGAATTGCATCTTTTATAGGATGAAGGTACTATTATTGAGTATCTCCAAGAGTCTTTTTTTTTAAACCCACTCTCTAAATCATCATTTAGAGAATTATTTCAATAAAAATCATTCTCTATATCTTTTCACCCTTCAATAGCTTTTCTATATCTTGTGCATACTCTAGAGTGTAAATTTTGCTCTCCATCTTTGGCTAGCGAAAAATCTGAAATAGAGAATGTCAATATCTAGAGATCTAATTAAAAAAGGTTGTTGAAGAGTATTTTTTCACTAAAATCTCTATTTCTACCGATAAGAAAGAATATAGAGTGGTTCTTGAGTTGCTCTAGACCTCAATCCTAGTGGCAAAATTTCGTTTGTTGTATGTGGCAAGAAACTTGTGCTGTTTGTTGGCATCTTCTTAATTATTAGCTTTTCTCTAGAATGCTGTGGTTAAGTTATATACCGAGATAAAATTTTCCTTTATCTAAAGAAGTTGACGTGGAAAATAGAAAACTTTCATCCCCTGGCATGAAGAAGCAAGCTGTGCCGCTTGAACAGATCGAGATGACGTCGGATGCCAAAAGATTTTCCATTTTCGCGATGAGATCTTCTGGTACCACCTAGCTAGCCTGCTAGCTTTCGAAAATCTCTTGTTGCATGTGTCTGTTACGTACGACAAGATAACACTTAAGAATTTAGCCGAAAATGGAAGTTAACTAGTTTGGCACATGGATAATTCCCTGCTGTCGTGCAGCAAATGCATCAGAATGGGAAAGTGTTGGCGTCCAATTCACAGCGAGCCAAACAACCAAATCGTGGCCATGTATCCGCCGTGCTGTCGATTGATGAACGGAAGTGATAAATGTCAAGAATAATCATCCAGCTAATATGTCGTTGACATTCTGGCTACTCTCTCCGTCCTTAAAAAAGAGTTGCTACCGAAATCGTGTTGGTCAAACTTTCTTAACTTTAACTATGTTTATAGAAAATACATGTAATATTTATATCTTCAAATAAGTTTATTATAAAAATATATTCAACGATCTACATAATAATACTAATTATGTACCATAAATATTAATATTTTATTAAATATATTTGGTCAAAGTTAAAAGTTAATAACTTTTTGGAAGCGAGAATGACTCTTTTTAGGGACAGATGGAGTAGATTGATTGATTGTATCATAAATATTAATATTTTTTAAATATATTTGGTCAAAGTTAAAAGTTGTTGACTTTTTAGGAAGCGAGAATTACTCTTTTTGAGACCGAGGGGGTAGATTGATTGATTGATATTGATATATATAGTTATTACTATAAAAATACTGCATTACGTAGCTAATAGATGGATGTCGGCCAAAAAGACCAGTAGTAAAAAAAAACTTAGCAATAGCGCTAACAAAAAAAATCATTTAGGCTTTGTTTGTATGTTATCGAATTCACCTTAATCCACGTGCGTTGGGTTGGATTGGGGTAAAATTTAGTTCAACTTTCACTCCAATCCATCATAATACATATGAATCAATACGAATCCGACTACATCCAAACAAGACCTTACCTAGATGTTCTTGAAGGGAGGCAATTGCATGGTGATGCCAAAGTGGACTAGGTTTTGACGTGGACACTGGCCACGTGTGCCTCGTACCTGGTCAAGCAATTGTTGCTGGCCGATCTCCCGCCAGCGGTGACACGTGACAGACGTCACTGACCTTCTTCTAGTCGGCAGAAACAATAATCTCCATTCACACACACACAAAAAACTAAGGCCCTATTTAGACCATAAAGCTAACAATTACTCACTAAGCTTCTTCTAGTTGGTAAAAACAGATGTCACTAATAAATATTTCACTGGTTGGACCGAACTAGTTAATAGTAACAACTAATATTAGCGTAGAAGGAGGCCGTTAGTTGTGCCTTCATCCCATGGTCTAAAAAAATACATGGGACTTAGCCATAGATAAACAGCCATTCAGTGCCCTTCACGGACATTCTTCGAACGAGGCAATTTGATGCTGTTCGTTTGAGCTTACCAGCCAGAATCAGTCCTATTTTTCAGTTATGGGAATAGTGTTTTTCTCTCACAATAAATCAACCCTATAAATCGGCCGCAGCAGCAATAAGTCCTACCGAACATGACCAAAAACGTATGCCAATGTGGACTAGGTTTCGTCAAAGGTGGACACGTATCTGGTAGTGGTAGTACGTATATACTACCTGGTCAAGCTGATGTGGCTGGTCCATCTCCCGCCAGCCGAGGCCGAGCCACCCACACGTGACTGACATCAGTGGCGTTGTTCTAGTCGGCTGGAACAAAAACCGCCGCCCACCGAGAAGAAACACGGCCCTCCCTCAGCCCCAGTTTGGCAGTTCCCTCTTGCTGCACTCAAGCAGTCAACAAAAGCTTCTCTGCCTCCTCTCCCTGTTTCTTGTTCAGATGCCCAAAACATTAATTAGCAAAACAAACGAGTCACCTACTAGTATGGTTGACAAAAAAAACGGCATATGCGAACGACAGATTCGTGCCTGACACGCCGGACGAAATAGTTGTCCGTTCACTCATCGTACCTCATTGATTTGTGATCATATACATCCATCCAGGCAGCTGGCAGCTGGATGCTGGATGACCTCGTGTGCTGTTCTTATAAATGCCGGCCAGCCATTCCCCTCCACTTTCCATTTCCGCTTGCATTCTCCAAAGCCGTCTTAGATTCAGGAAACACCGAGAGCAACAAGTTGTTGTGCCATTGGCCGCCATGGCAAGAAGCCGGAGCATGGCGGCGCTGGCGCTCCTCGTCCTGGCCTCCTCCGCGCTGCCCGCGTCCGTCGCCGTGACGTCGCCGTACGTTCGGCCGCCGCCCAGGGCCACGCTGTCGCTGCCCCGGGACGACGACGCCGACGGCCAGACGCCGCAGCAGGTACGCCTTCCTCTGTGTCGCTCTGCTCTCAAGCAAGATGTGCTTCGGTGGTTCCAGTGCCCTGGCCGCCTGTGTTTCGCCGAGCTAGCGGAAAGCCGGAAAACCTGACCACCACCAGGTTCTGAATTCTGAATGCTGCCATGTCATTGGGCACTACTGAACCTGCGTTCGTGCAGCGATCTCGCTTCAGTTGTTGCAGCAAGTTTGCTCCGATCCATTTGTGCTACTGAACACTGATGATCCGCCGTGCGAGTGCAATTACTTACTTGCATATGGTGACCGTGTACGTTGTCGATGGGGTGGTTTCTTTTTGCTGTCCAACTCGATCGATTAGCTAGACCACTGGATCGATTAGGATTAGTACACAAGGATTGTCTGTTTGCGACCGCACTCAGTGAGTCAAACTCCGACCAGAAAGAAAGAATCAAAGAAAGCATCCTGCATTCCTGCGTGGCCCCACGTGCGTCCTTCGTCTTCGTCATGTGATACAGCGTGGCTTATAGAGTATGTACGTCCAGTAGTATAATACTTGTACGAGGGAAGTTGAAGGTAGGAAGGAATTGTGGTGCCTGTCACGACATTTTTGGTTGGATTTTTTTTTTTTACATTAGGTTTCTTGGTTGGATTCCTAGGGAGCAGGAACAAATATAGCTGAATAAATATGTACGTGTTCACACAGCTGGGGCTGGGAAAGAGCTTGACCTGATTATTTGCGTCTGTTTAGTAGTTAGCATCAAGAACGGCCCGGGGGTTGAGTGAGACAGTGACCGCACCACTGACAGAGACAGGGGAGAAGAGAAGACGAGAGACAAGAAGCTCCTTTCGGATTCTTCCGGGTTTCTTGCTTTCCCATTCATCCCCCGCGCCGCGCCCCCGTGTCATCGTAGCGTATCGTCCCTGACGACGCACGTCGTGCCGGTTGGGTTCCGCTTATCTGCCTTGCTGTTTCTTGTGATTGTGACTAATCATGGGCGACGCATGACAATCAGCTTTAGGTTAGTGTTACTGATAGTGATAGGGCAATGCATCGATCGACCATCAGGGCTAATGCTCTGCTGCGGTCGTCACAATCATGAGTCACACCTGTTTCTTTCCTACGTTTTCCCCGTCAGTCATTGCAAAACGCAAAGAATTTGAACACTTTTTCTTGGAAACTCCAGGTGCACATATCAATGGTAGGGCCTGACAAGGTGCGGGTATCATGGATCACCGACGACGACGCGCCGGCGACGGTCGACTACGGCACGTCGTCCGGCCAATACCCCTTCTCCGCGACCGGAAACACGACGACCTACTCCTACGTGCTCTACCACTCCGGCAACATCCACGACGCCGTCATCGGCCCGCTCCAGCCCAGCACCACCTACTACTACCGCTGCAGCGCCAGCCCGTCGCGGGAGCTCTCCTTCCGGACGCCGCCGGCCACCCTCCCCTTCAAATTCGTCATCATCGGTAAATGCCCATAATCTTGTACATTTTGTGCATGTGCCGCCGCAGCTGGGCTCGAGTGCTCGATCGATCATGGCGTGATTTGATGGACACGGCAATGGCGTCGCTATATGTTGCAGGTGACCTCGGTCAGACGGGGTGGACGGCTTCCACGCTGAAGCACATCGCCGCCGCCGACTACGACATGCTCCTGCTCCCGGGCGACCTGTCCTACGCCGACTTCGTCCAGTCGCGGTGGGACTCGTACGGCCGCCTCGTGGAGCCGCTGGCCAGCGCGCGGCCGTGGATGGTGACGCAGGGCAACCACGAGGTCGAGAAGCTGCCGCTGATCGAGCCCAAGCCGTTCAAGGCGTACAACGCGCGGTGGCGCATGCCGTACGACTACGCCGCCGCCGCGCCGCCGTCGGGCGACAACCTCTACTACTCCTTCGACGTCGCTGGCGGCGCCGTGCACGTCCTCATGCTCGGCTCCTACACCGACTACGGCGCCGGCAGCGCGCAGCTCCGCTGGCTCCGCGCCGACCTCGCGGCGCTCGACCGCAGGAGTGGCAGGCCGGCGTTCGTGCTCGCGCTGGTGCACGCGCCGTGGTACAACAGCAACGAGGCGCACCAGGGGGAGGGCGACGCCATGCGGGACGCCATGGAGGCGCTGTTGTACGGCGCGCGCGTCGACGCCGTGTTCGCGGGCCACGTCCACGCGTACGAGAGGTTCAAGCGCGTCTACGCCGGCAAGGAGGATCCGTGCTCGCCCGTGTACGTCACCATCGGTGACGGCGGCAACCGGGAGGGGCTGGCGGACAAGTACATCGACCCGCAGCCGACGATCTCGGCGTTCCGGGAGGCCAGCTTCGGGCACGGCCGGCTCGAGGTGGTGAACGCCACGCACGCGCTGTGGACGTGGCACCGCAACGACGACGACGAGCCGGTCGTCGCCGATCAGGTGTGGATCAACAGCCTCGCGGCCAACCCGGCTTGTAACAGAAGCAAGAAGAAGAAGATGTGACGCACGACGACAAGGCGGTTGTCTTTACTAGTTTGGAGTTGTTAGAGATTGAATTTATAAACTGTTGTTCCCCGAAAAAATATATTCATAAATTGGTTGTGTAATGTAAATATGAAACTCCATAAAGCTCCTAGATTCCGCGCTCTCTCAAGGCTTTGGTTACTGTTCACATACGGGGCGCCCAGCCGTCATCTGCCGCGTGGCCATGCCGCGTTTCTGTTCCCGGTCTCCCGGTACCGTGCTACCGGCGCGGACGGTTTACGGATCTGACGAGGTCGCCCTTCCTGTGCTCAGCTGCAATGCGCGTGCGTGTCCGGGCCTGAGTTTCGACCTCGGAGGTTTCGTCCTGGCCTCCTGGGCCAGATCCCTTCCTCCGTTTCCTCGCCTCCAATCAATCCCCGCCGCCAGGATGACATCGACGGCGGTGGCGGTGGCGGTGGCGTGAAATACGGTTGCCGCGGCACCTCGCGCTTGCCTTCCGCACAGCCGCTGCCTCCTCCCTCCGCCTTCTGCGCCGTCATCGCGTCCTTACTTCCTGCCCCCGCGGCCACCATAGAGCCGTAGCCGTCGTCTTGGTCGACCTCAGGCTCCACTCCATCAGCCTCCCCAACCTGCTCCATAGCGATCCGCAGCCGCAGTTGCCCCCTGCTAGCGACCGGTGCGACGACGACATGGTGGTGGACCTGAGATGCTACTGATCTTCATCTCCATCCACGCCGCCCAGATCTGGTGAGTTCATCACAGAATCTTCTCCTCCCCCGTCATTATTTTGTTGTGAACATGGTCGGCAGCATGTGTGATCTCAAAAGAAAGCACGTGTACATCTGCTTCAGTTTTTTTTTTTCTCTACGTATCGGCTGATCTGGCACTGTCAGCTCCTCCATTGCCTTCCTCATGAATACACACTACTAACATGCAAGTATGCAATGTATTTGGAATGAGGCGTTGTCATCGCTTTGTGCTAATCTAAGGGGTTTCATTTAATGTGCTTGACAAATAGGAATCCACAGCCTGGTGCAGTGACAGGTACGTCGCCACACTCTCCCTTTAGCCAATTTCCCCCATGCCGCTTGTGTTGTGGCTTCAAAATCTGGAAGTGCAGGTTTAATATGAAACTAAAGATCTCTATTTTCAAACAGGCTACCCATATATCCTGCACCAAGATTGAGGAATCTGTGAAAATTGCCAGCATATCCCCTTTGAATCTGAATAGTGACTTCAAATTAAAGGGTTCATGACATGAGGAAGCTGTGAAAATTGCCAGCATATCCCCTTTGTCCCTGTTGTAGATTTATAAAATTATACTGAACTTACTGAAATTAGAAAGGCTATTTGGATTTTTTTTTCATGTGGCCATGTCATTCCTGACTATGCGCTCAATCGAACATCCCCAAACCAGGTACATGTACATCATGTCCCCTCTCTACATATTTATTTCCAGATTTCAAAATTGTTCCACGAGCTTTTTTTACATTATCCATGAACAGAGAAAATCCATGTCTTCTTGGAGCTATGTTTCTTAATGGATATCTCATCTCCAAATTGTCAATCGCATGTTACACGTAACAATACATTGGGATTTCTAAACTCGAAGCCCACTGAGAATTATGGAAATCTGGGGCTTGCAGGAGGGGTTCAAATTGATGTCTTGTGATTCACCTGCTTCATGCACTGATCGATATATTAACAAAGATCTGGTCCATATGTCGTTGCTTGCTCTCTAGCTGTCCTTATAAGTTGCAACGATGTGTCAAATTTCCTTTGTCTACAGAAGAATGCAGTTTGCATGTTCCAAGGTACTCCAACGGAGGCTAACTGTTTTTTTGTTATCTGTTTGTGGTGCTAATTCTTCTATAACATTTTGTGAAACCAAGTTAAGAATGAATCGTACAACTAAGAAGTAAACATATGAATCATCTAGGTATACTTGCTTCTTGTCCTTGGTTTCTTGGGTAAACGGGAGGCTGCTTAGTGCTTTTCATTATTTTACATCTTATTTTTCCGTTTCATTTCTTCTTTTTTGCATTTTACATCTCACTGCAGTTGACCGTACCAGATAGCCATATGCATAGTCTCTGATTCTCAGGCAGAAAACAAATTAGTTTCCTTGCCACGAGACGAGTGAGTATTCATGTTATTGACTAGCGAATCCTATTGTTTCCAAAAAAAACTAATCCTACAAATTGTGATCTTTTGTTATTTGAAGGAAAACCCTCTAGGATTTTGACAAACATAGCTAATGTACCATCAAATTGTTTGGAACAGCAATAGTCACAAATACGTCATTTATCAACTCTAGGATTTTGACAAACATAGTCAATTGGTATGTACAATCTGTCTATGGTATTTGCTCCTTTTTTTTCCATGTGACAGTAAAGGTCTGTAAATTTGTTTTGGTTAACAAATTTGCCGTATTGGTGTAGCTTCACTTAAGTTCATTGAAATCAGGTTACAGGCCCATATGTTCCATAGATGATAGATCAGCTTTTCATGTGACACCTGAACTTTATGTCTCCAATATAAAGATGATTTTTACTTTCTCCCTATCGACGGATGTTGCAATTATTGCTAACAAAGTAACAAGCTTAAGCAGCACATACCAAACTTTTGTTGTCCAAGAAATGATTGATTAGCTGTAATAATGTCCTGATATGAAGTGTGGATTAATTACTATGCAGCTGGAAAACGAAGATTACAGATGATGGAGAACACTCAATACAAATGATGCAGTACCTGCTGTTCGATTCTTGCTGCACTACTTACGAGTCAAGGTGTCAGTGCCAGCGTCATTCGGCTTATGTTTTCCTTTAATCCACACAATGTGTCGCAGTTGTAATTTTCTCTACCAATAATATTGATTTTTTCAATGTCAAAGTGAAATGAACATAATGTCATCGACATAAGACCTCTCTCTTACCATGATCTTTACAACTATGCTCTATTCCTCTACAATAATACATTTGTGTGGCAATGCCTTATCTAACTAATGTACAGCTGAGTGAGCGCCGCTTCATTTCATTATTATACCTATGCAAATTAATAAAGGTGTGAACGCTTGCCATCTACGGAGTACGTACTTCGTTCCACTGAATGCATTACTGTTTCTGAAGCCCAGACTTGGGAGTCACTACGGGCGCAGCGAAGCGCGCCTGCCCACCTAGTATTCATACTTCGATTGTGTTTGGTTGCAAACGGTAACGGAATATATTGTGACACCGAGAGTGGCCCCATAAAGAATAACCGTTTGTATCATTGGAATTGAATTTATTTTAATAATCATAATTTAGACCCATATTAATTAAGCTAATATAGTTATATATCGATTATATTTGTATATTATTGTTGGCTATACGAGAGAAATACTTATGAATTACATTTCTACCGTAGATGAGCGAGTTAAATAGCGTGTTATAAGTTGCAAAGTAGAAACATAGACTTGTGATTTATAGAATTATTCTTCATCTCTCATCCTATGAATTTGAGATATGCTTACATATGAACTTTGAAAAGTGATGGAATGTCAAATTCTTAGCCAAATAACATAATTTATTTACTAAATTTCAATTTCTCCAAATAAAAAGATCCACAAAGCCCCTTACATTTTTGGACATTTTTGGACTTCCGGTAGTTGAAGCTGAGCCAGAAGCCTAGGTTCAAGTGTCATTGGGGCTTCAAATAAAATGTAATAATGTATCGAGATGCTGTCCAAATTTTCTTTTCCTTTTTCCCCCAAAACACAATACAAACATTGAGAACCACATACATCGATACACACTTGTCCCTAATGCACACGCACAAACCCCATTTTATGCGCATCTTTAAGAGATTTTTATCGCTAAATCTTGAGATAACTAGCATTATTTAGTAAAGAGGAAAAAAAGAACCAAGTACAATTGTCGGGTTCATAAATTCAGGGTCCCTAATGGACCTGCTTCCCAAATAAAAGCTCGGCTCAGCAGACGACGTTGCGAAGGAAGAGCCTGGAAGAGCGATCCAGTCTCCAACCGGAAGGCCTGGCCAAGGAGGGGACGACGCTCGCTTCCGACTTCGACCCACCTCTCCGACCGGAAGGCCTGACCAAGGAGGGGACGACGCTCGCTTCCGACTCCGACCCGCCTCTCCGACCGGTAGTACACCGAATCTCTGCTTACAGCTCTTCTCCGACCGGTGCGGTCAGAGCCGACTGGGAAACAACCGAACGGGGACGCCCGCTCGGTAAGGACCCGAAGAATCAGGCGGAGCAAGTAACACAAGGCGCTCAAGTCAACCGTAATGCCGAGGACCGTACCCTGCACACCTGCAGGACAGTACTGTCAGGTCATGTCAGAAGGGTACTTTATAACCTTTCAGACATGTCAGAACAACGAACAGTGTTGTGGACGCCGACATTTGTCCTACAGTATGGTAGGCGCCGACATTTGCCATACCAGAAGAAAACGGTGGAACCCAGCACATGCATCTAGCCATCAACAATATTGTGGGTGCCGACAAACCGTCTTGCACCCGACGGTGTGGGCAACAAGACTAGGTAGCACACACACACTCTCTCTCACTTGTAAGGCCATCCCATTTATCTATAAAAGGGGATGCGCCCTCTCCAAAAGAGGATTCAGACAACGAACAAAAAACAACAGACGTATCATTCTGACTCACTCTATGCTAGCTTTAGACTTTCTAAAGCTACACAGAGCATACGCTCCAATACTTAGCTCACGTAGGAGCTCCCATCACTCTCGGCCCTTCGGTCCGGAGTCCGACCAGACCTCTAACACCCCCATCTTACTCCCACCCGTTTGTAACCCCACAACAAACTTCGAGCACCTGGCCTCAGGAATAAAGTCACCGACCGACTCAAGCAGGACATAGGGCACGTTGCCTGAACTAGTATAAACCTTGTGTCATTGACTGCTAGGCCACATCCGATCACAACGTACGGCAAAACGACAAATATTTACTTGTTGGTCACTTTTCGCACCGACAGTTGGCGCCATCCATGGAGA